TGTTTTTCTAGCTTGTTAATACTTGAATGGACTGTTATAATTTAGAATGAATTTTTGTCAAAATTCAAATAGTTATTCGTAGCTGATGATTAAAAGCACAAGTCTATAGGCTATTGCTTTTCTAGCTTGTTAAATCCTGTTGTTAAATTATAATAAGTTGTTGTTAAAACCTGAATTGGTGCTTATTGATGAAAGACTAACACATAAAACTATATTCATCTTATATGCTTTTTTAGCTTGTTAAAGTCAAAATGGACTGTTATTAATTTAAAATGGTTTGTTGTTTATACACTTGTTCCATTAGACATGTGTTTTTAATTATCAACATCAAGTATCCATTCAAATTTTAATAATAACTCATTTTAAATTAATTATAGTCCATTCAATGAGAATAATTGTACATGATAGTAAAGTAGATTGGATGAGAACAATTGTATATGATAGTCTTTTATCAACAAGTATCGATTCGGGTTTTAACAATAACTTATTCTAAATTAACAATAGTCCATTCAGGTTTTAACAAGCTAGAAAAACATATAGGATGAGCATAATTGTATGTATTAGTCTTTCGTCAATAAGTATCCATTTAGATTTTAACAATAACTTATTTTAAATTAACAACAGTCTATTCGAGATGTAATAAGCTAGAAAAGCAACAGCCTATTAGACCTGTGCTTTTAATCATCAATTATAAGTATCTATTTAGATTTTGATAATAATTCATTTTAAATTAATAACAGTCCATTCGAGCACTAACTAGCTAGAAAAATGGATAAGATAGGCTTAATTTTATTTGTTAGTCCTTCATCAACAAGTGTACATTTAGGTTTTTACAATAATTCATTCAAAATTAACAATAATCTATTATGGTTTTAACAAGTTAAAAAATTGATAGGATAAGCTTAATTGTATGTGTTAGTCCTTTATTAATAAGTATCCGTTTAGGTTTTGACAACAACCTATTTGTGATTAACAATAATACATTCAAAATTTTAACAAATAAAATATATGAAGTTTTAAAACTCTTAATTTGAAATTGTTCATGTCAAATTAACAAGTAACATTTGTAAAATAATAAATTTCATTTAGAAATTAACAATAAATCATTATGTTATAACATGAAAGTAGTTAGAAACTTAGTTTATTACTTATTTTTTTATTATATATAATTAAAGGGCTTGGTGGCCACCAAGCTTTTTAAGTGACCAAGGGTCATAGGATTAAACCCTCTCTTGACCACCTAAATCAATAATTTCTTGAATAAAAATGTCATTGGCGCTAGAGCTCCAACAACCCTGCTAGCAGCAAGGGTTCTTGTGACCTCATCATCGGCAGGGGTTTGGTGGTTGTTTGGCAACCAGCATTGGCAAAAATGAGGGTTTCTTTTTTTTATTTTGTTTTTATATTTGAGGGTAGTTTGGTCTTTTGAGCAACAAATTAATCTTGGTCAAGGATCAAGGAATTGCATTGTAATTTTGAAGTCAATTAATCATCTTTTGATATTAATTTATTACTGAGGTCCTCGGTTGCTTTTTTTTTTTTTTACTTATACATAATTTAATAATGCATTTCTTTCATCAATATTTTAAAATAGAGGGACAAATTTGTGATCAAGAGTTAATATAGATATGACAAAAAAACTATATTATATCTCTATCTAATAAATAGAGATGGAGGGAGTAAATACGAAAAAAAATTTATACACTTTGATATGTGAATGTGACATGTCACAAGGGGTGCTGAAGTTGGTTGCACTTGGTTCAAAATTGAGACGAGATTTTACTCCCAATTAATGTGCAATCCCCCGAGGTGGTAGCCGTGATATCAATCTAAACTCTTCCATACAGTTGCATATATAAAAGCCATGAACACTCACCAAGCCACGTGATGTGCATTTACTGAAGATAGAAATGTTTTTAAATTTTTTAAATTTGAAACATTTCTGTGGATGTGATACTACCATTTTAAAAAATAAAGCACGATATTCATAATTTAATTTGCTACGAATAATCAATAATTTGATATAAAGCAAAACAATGTAGGTAATTCATGATTGTGATGCTTGACAAATTATGAATAGTGCGGCTTATCTATCTTAAGTCTTAACCTTTATGTAAACACACATTGCCCACTTAAATTTTAAATTGTTTATAGATTTATTATTGATATTGATATCAATTAATTGTCCCAAATTTAAAGATTCTTTCAATTCTTTGGTCCCATTTACTTGTGAAGAAGAATATAATGAAATATATTAAAAAAATAAAGATAAAAATACAATAATTAAGATATAGAAAATAGATATAAGTCAATTATATTCATAAAAAAAATGAGTAATTTAATTCATAAAATTGTGAGATATGATTTTTAAAATTTGTGGTGGATAAAGTGACTTTCATATTTAAAATGCGTGGAATTGATTTTTTTTTTATTATTGACATGAGAGACTAGATAATTTAATTTATTTTTATTTTTATTTTTTCTAATTCATTATACTCTGGCAATCAAACGGGAAGTCGCTAGTTTCCAAGCCTGAGTTTGAATACAGGCTTTCCTTATAATGCCACGTGGCATCCATTGTTTACAGACATACAAGTTGGCTCGGCCCATCAAAGCCCGGCCCAACTTTGATGGACTCAGGTAGAATTCAGTGTCATACTGCTGCTACTTTGAATGAGCCAAAGCTTTTTAACATCTGTTTTAATTGGTTGGCTAGCTGGCTACCCTTTGACTGTGACGCGCCTGAATCTTTAATATTTTTTCATTAAGAATATAAATTTGAATCCTTGACACAAAATGCATGTCGATTTAATTAATCAGTGTCATCTCAAGTACTAGCTCATTAACTATATTTTAGGCTTTAATCACATCACCAGCCAACTAAAAATGATTGATAATTCTTTCGCATATTACTCGAGTTCGTATAACTGTCTCCTTCTCTAGCAGGCATGTTGATTGAGGCTCATTGTTGCGCTTGCGCGGGATAGGGAGGGTATTGGTTAATATGTTGGGGTTTTAACTGATATCTTGGCTTCTTTTGTTTTCTGTTTGGCAGATTTGCTGGTTTGCTTGCGTCTTCTTTCTTGGACAGATTTTTTTTTTTTAAATCTGTTTTACTGGCAATTAGTAATGGCATTGAGTATTTCAGGCCAAAAAAAAAAAGGTTCAGGTTCGTTTTACTATCTTTAATTAAATAACGTCTATTACCCAAAAAAAAAAAACTAAAATAACGTCGAAATCATGTTTGGTTGAGTAAGGACCTCTCGGGTTTCAATATTTGTTCTCTCCTTCTCTCAACCTGTAGAAGGCCTAAGAGTCTATCAAAATATATCCCACAATAGTAACCTTACGTTTTGAACGTTGCTAACGTAACACGTGAGATCTACTACATTTTAGTCTGAGGGAAAAAATAATGTAGTATTCTTTTAAACTCTTTTTACGTGGCGGCAAAATTCATATTTCGCACGTCAAATTCAAGGTCCAGTTAACCACCATAGATAACTGAAAACTTGATTACATTACATGAATTTGATTGTAAGTTAATTGGCTTAACACACATGCATGTGCAATGACATTTGAAAAATCTCTCTCATTTCAAAGGAATAAATTGAAGGAGGAGCTAGATTAAACAGATATAGCTACATGCACTCCAACTCAATATAGATTGGTAAGATGTAAGAGTACCTAGGAAGAGTATATCATGAAAAGAAGCATCTAGGATAAAATTGAAATGTCGCATTTCCTTAAGAACCGTGAAATTAACTAACTATCCTCCATAATTAGCATCAAAAGGAGTATCTTCCCACTAATTTTCTCACAAGTACATACTTTGAGAAAGCAAGCTATAATTAAGTAGCCACCAGAGGCTAGCTGTTTGAGAATAATGGAGAATCTCTAATATAACATGAGCAGGTATGTACAGGAAGGGGATACTAAAACTGACAGCTAATTAACAATACAACATATGCATGTGAAGGCCACTTGTTGACGAACCAGAGAATAATAATGCACAAAGTATCAAACAGCACATGCACCATATCAGATTACACAGGTCACAGAATACCATATGTGGGCAACTCAATCATTGCCAGTCAGCATCCACACACACAGTATACCATCATTCTTTTCAATGATTTCCTTAAATCTTCAGGAGACAATCAGTTGTATATCTCTAAAACTGCATGATCAGTGTTGTACATTATAGGCTTAGATGAGCATGCATGCAGAACTAGTAGAATTCTTGTTGTACTAGAAAGAACATTTTGGCTGCTTCCTTCCCCTCATGGTGCTCATATTTTCAAATAATTAATTGATGGAAACGCATAGGAGGATTTTTTTTAATGATAGTTTAATTAATTCCTCACAGAAAACAATGTCCTCATCATTTTGAACCGCAAGCGATATGAAACTTTTCTTTCACATTGGTTATTCAAAGTTTTCAGGAATCATCATAATTAAGCTTGGAAAAAAATAGGTTCAACAATTACTGGTAAGCTGAGCTCCAACTTGAGAGAAATACTTAATACTCACATAAGATTGTGTGCAGAGTCAGAACTAACAAAAAAAGTATTTAAAAAAAAAAGTGTAGATATCATAATCGAACACATGAGTTTGATGTGGCTTTATCATGCCACACACACGCGCACACGCACACGAAGTACCTTTTTTATGCAAAATTTTAACCGACATTCAGATTCCAATTTGTCGAACTTTATAACAGAGAAGCTTTAACAATAACATATATTTCATGAACTGATTCAAACATATAATTAAGTGTGAAGAAAATCATCTAAAGACATCCACAAAATCTGCAAAATTTATATCCATGCGTATGATATTACAGTTAGTTAACAACACGTAGTTTTATATGTAACTATATACAACGATATATGATGTTATAAAAGCACACATAAATGCACAGATTAATTTAAGTATCAACAGCAAAGACATAAATTCAATCGCCAATATCTGTCCAAGAAAAAGTGCAGAGAGGGTAAGGCTTTTAGTAAATGAAATGCTTTCCTCTTATTTCCTTCATATTGTTCAGAAAAGGAAGGATCTGAAACAAAGACAAGGTGACGTGAAACATTAAAGCAAACTCATCCAAACATAAAAAGTACTAACTAATTAACCTGTTAGAAAAGAAAAATGGTCATGCGTTTCTTGTCAATACCCAAGTTAATTTTAATGTAAGCATAATTAATCACGACATTTAAATGATGGGACTAGATTGACAATTTTCCTCCTCAGCGCGGGTAAGTCTACGCGGTCGGAACTGTTAACCTGCGAATCAAGTAAAATAATTGAAGAAAGAAGAATATATTACAGCTAGCAAAGATCAAAACATGATGAAAAAGAGAAATATAATCCCATACCTCACACTGAACACTGTGAAGTAATCTGCCATTGACTTCGGTGGAAACACAATTAACAACTCCAAGTCCTTCGTCAAGCACCAGTTTAAGCACTTTTGAAAGGGAAAGCCTTTCCTCTCCGAAGGAACTAGAAACTTCTATTCCCACACCACCATTAGTATTAATCTCGTGAATACTGAAAAAACCGCTACACGTGTACTCTTCGCACTCGAGTGTTTCTGGATTTGAAGAATTCTTCGATAGTCTCTTCAGTTCATCTCTCTTGGCGCTCAGTTCTTTGATTTTCTTCTGCAGGTGCTTTATGTAGTTCTTCGCCTCATTCATGTGGTCTGATATCGAACGCTTTCCCTAAAAGCCCCACCACAACAAAAACCCTAAAGTTAATTTTAGTAAAAGAGACACTACAATATGTAATCTTTTTCTTAAAAAAGAGACACTGCCAGAAAGTTTTCGCTCAGTACTGTAATTATCTCCAAGACTGAAAATTCGGGTTAATTAGAACAAATTAAAGCCGAAGCCAAGGTTAAACAAAGAGAGAGAAGGGGGTGGGTTGTCGTTTGAGAAAGAGGATTTTGGCTCAGATCTCAAAAATCCGATTGGAGGAAAATTTAGCAAGAGTTACAGAGTTCGTATACACATAGAAGAAAAAGAAATAGGAATTTAGGTACTTTACCTTGATGAACTCAAGTGGGAGAAGAGATCTAAGAGAGGCATGGAGGGTAGCCATTTCTTGCCTTCTTTGCCTCTCAATCTCCCTGTGAACCAGCCTCTCGTTCTTCTTCTTGTAGTCGTTTTCAGAATTTCGATAATGGTAATTAATCTTATCATCAGACGACTCGTAAAGTAGTTTCTTCGGCTTGTCGGTACGACCTTGTAATTTTTTATGAGAAAAATCGAGGAAATCCAGAGAAGTATGAGCATAGTCGTCCAGAATGAGATCCTCTGACATTTTCTGTTGTTGATGGTGGGGACAACTAGAAAATTCGATGACCATCTCATCGCCTCGTTGTGAAGGAAACATACTGTTCTCTTCCAATGAGTACTCAAAAGTCCTCAAACTTTGGTTATGGAGGCAACAGGAAGCACAGATTTTTTGGGCTTTGCTATCTCTCTTAGAGACCTTCAAGATTCCTCCCTGCAAAGTGATTTTATATGATAACTGACCTAGTTGGGGGTATTAGACGTATTATATATATATATATATATATAAAAGCTTTGTTGATCACTACACCCATTAATTTGCATACAGATCATGTGGATCAGCACTCTATTTAAGTGTTTCTTAAGTAATTGGACCCTTTTTTCTTTATGGATTTTGCTGGAGAAAAAGTGAAATAGTTACTTATAAGTGAGTATTGACATCTAAAAGCCATGTAATTTGTCAAGTAAGATGTATGTATTTAAGAAATATGGATGGACATGTATTTTACATCTCCATTATTTTCTGTTTTTAATTTCTCTCTCACTTGAGTTAAAAAATCTCCAGCCTGTATGTCTGTCAGAATCGTATAATTTTTGGATTTTAATGTGTCTGATATATTATCAATTTCATTTTTTATACTAATTTAATAAGTTTAAAGTGTAATACACATTTTATTAAGCGTTTTGTTTTTGGAACAAATAATTAGGCTCTACTTTAGAGTAATTATAGTTTTCTCAATATGAGGAATTGAATTACAATATCTATAATATTTAAAGACGTTACGAACAACTTGGAAACAAGTTCTATTTGCGTCAATTATTCAGCAGCCAGAGACGTCATACGCTGTCCCATTTAGCTATTAGCTTTTTTTTTTTGGGGGGGGGGGGGTGAGGGGGGGGCGGCGATTTACTTCGAAGGTGCAAATGAATCGAACAATTTACAGACTATTAAATTAAATCCAACTCGTCAAAATTTTGAACGTAACTCGACTGTCTGTTAAATATTCAAGCTTGATCGATACTTCTTTGATTTTATTTATAAAGTAGAAAGAAAAATTTTTTGATTCTATTTATAAGACAATTATCAATTTCTAAAGTTCCTCTTTACATTTTTGCCTTATTAAATATTTTAAATAAAAATATTAGTAATAAAATTTAATAACATTTATTAGAGGTAAAGGTAAAAATTTATTAAATTTTAAGATAAATTTAATGAGGTTTAAGGTTTTTTTTATTTTAATAAAACATATTGAAATTAACTTATAAATAAAATTAAAGGAAAATACATTAAACAAGGTAAGTTGAAGGAGCAAAGCTTAAAACTTTGATGCTCGGTCTCTGAAGAGCGTAAAACTAGTTTGGTTATTGATAAAAACTTGGGCTAAATTTGCTTTAAATGAATAAGTTAATTAGATCATACAAGAACTGGCGAATGTGGCAATGATTCAAGTAGAGAGAAGTATGAAGGTATATTTAACGTTTATTTAAAATCTTTCTTCTGAATTTTCTGGTTTTATTCACCTGTTCTTTTCTGTTTCGATGAAAGATCATCTACGACATGATAATCATAATCGATCTGGGTTTTTTTCTTCCAAAAACGATGTATGGACCAGATTCCTGGTCGCAAAAAGCTTATATGAGTAATAGAAAACATCGACAGTATCCACGTGAAGATTTCCCTGTGATATAAAAAATTGTATTTCGACACTCAACCACAATTGTTTCTTCTTTATATGTTCAGTAACATAATGATTCTTATTATGAAAACAGCTTAGCAGCTTCCTCTCATTAATATTCTCCTTAGAGACAATGAATTGATTATGGGAATTAATATTGGAGTGTTACCTTAAAATACTTGATAATTGTTTATTAAAAAATATTTAATTTACATAGTTGCAAAACTAATTGGGCTACGGATGGGTCAAAAATTGTGGCTCATTCAGCGCCTTTTTACCGGCCACGGTACAATTCACCCCCTTCGAAGTCACTATCCTGGAAAAATCGACCAATTGTAATAATCATGGGTTTTCACCATCATTGAAACGATCAATGTAGTAATTAATAAAAAATTAAAATGTGTTCAAGCAATTGATGTCACGTGGTCTTATGAATATATCTATATATATATATATATTATACATCTTTTTATCTTCTCACTCTATCATTGATGCATTACTATACCCACAAGCTATTGACTTAACTAAACAATGGAAAATAAACAATGGTTGGAATCCCAGGTATTGGGCGCTAGAGACTGACAAAGGCACATCAATTAACCTTAAAAAAAAAAAGAAACTTACAATTAAGGCATATGAATGCTACTATAGTGGCAACCATTTTTTATGTTTATTATTTGGAAATTGCAACTTCCGGTAGCTGACTGAATCATTTATGAGTTATAATAAATTATTAGAAGCATCACACACGTGTTTTAATATGATCTTTGCCTAATTTATATGATTTTGGTATATACGCATGTGCAAATTAAAGTCTAGACTTAAAAGCAGTTTAATTATATATTGGCTATTAAAATAGTAAAGTTTGGTGGAAAAAGATGTCAGAGAGATGTGAACGAATCCTCATAAAACAATTTTATAAGGGAGACTATAATGGCCAAGATAAAAACAAATAGTTGGTCATGTTTTAAATTATAGGATTTCCCATGTTTCGATTTTCTTTATTGCGTTACACATATGGCTAATCTATAGAAAATTTGTGAGCAACAAGATGTAAGAACAGTAAATGATCAATTTTTTTCATATAGTAAATGATCAACATATTCCCTGTTGTTCAAAAAAAAAAAATGATCAACATATTGAAGCATAGACAATGGAAATTTTTCCTCATTCGCTAATCCTGAAAACAGTATATATGATTATTAATAATCTATTAACTAATAAGAAAATGATTTCATTATGTTAATCACTGTCAAGATGTATTTTACTATATATTATCACTTGTAATTAGTATATATAATTCATGTTTGTTATCAATACTTGTCTCACTAGAATTGGAATGCTTTATTAGGTCAACAATTGGGGTTGGTGAAATGTAAAGGTCCCTAAGATTGTGTCCTTGAAGGCTCAGAACGGTATGCATTAGGAAAAAGGAATCTTACTCTATCAAATGAATAATAGTTTTCAATGCTAGTAAAAACAATATAACTTCAACAATCACTATTTTTTTAGTATTAACTTTTATGATAGAACACGATGATATTGTGCAATCTAAATACTAATTCTAGTTAGTGGGACACAACTTATTGTTGATGTTAATGTTGTTGTAGTAATTTTCATCTAAGCCACATATATGACATTTCTCATTTTAAAAAATCATGATTTTATTTTATTTTGTTTCTGCCTTCAAGGCGAACCCAAATTAACAGCCATATGTGTTTCAGATCGAGATCAATAGAGTCCTTATAGTGCAGTTCATATAGGACAAAATATGCATGATTTTTGGGGATAATATATATTGTTTGCTGTTGATAAACGCTACTCCTTATACTTACAAAAAAATATGCACGATAATATAGCAATGGCTCAGCTCATGATCGATGATTAGATTAATTTCAACTTAATTATTTAGACGAGGCCAATTAGAGCATGTCATTCGTTCAAAACATTTCAAGTTATATTTGACCTGTATAAGTCCGTATATATTGACACTGGACAAATGGCAAAAAATAAATGAAGACAACTATTGACTAGTATAATTCAACCATTCAAAAATATAATTGATGCTTATTAAGGGAAAAAAAATTCAACATTTCAACTGCAATAATTGAAGCTAAGATGAGGATGTTTCCATCCGGATATACGTTCAAGTAAATTAGTGTGAATATAAAATAAAAATAAACAATTTCAGTGTTTATATCAAAAGCAGATGGCTGTGTAACTGTGTTCATAATATGATGTGATCGAACAGTTGCAACTACCTCTGATAATAAATTTTTTATAATTGTCTCATCTTATCTATTACTACTACATTTTAGGTTGGAGGAGGAGCGAGGGAGCGATAACAACCAAAAGATTTGAAGGATCTTTAACAAGCATTTTCAAAATTCAAAATGATAAATTATTTCTCCTTTTTAATTGAATTAAGGATTTTTTTTGGTATTATATCTACAATGTATATAACTATAATAATTCCACATACATACCTAGTCAAATCAAAATATAAAAAATAACTACAATAGTGCTAATGATTTATTTGTGGCTCTCGTAAGAGAATATATTATTAAACTTTCTAATTTGCTTTTTCTTAAATGTATATTCGATTTCTGATAATCGATATTTTTATTTTCATTTACATAAATGTTATTCTTGAATAAAATTTGTTAATCATAAACAATAAAATAATAATATTTTTTAATTGATTGTATTTTTTTGTTTTCATTGCTTTTTTTATTTTTTATCACACACTTTTACAATAAATGTAACTTGTTTTCAATCTTAATATATACATATTTCAAATAACAAAGTATTATTTTGTTGGCTAGTAACATCAAAGCATTCTACACTTGCATCCATAGTTGTCAAACTCTCGAGTTAACTCTATGAGTTTAACATTTTTACATTTCCAACTTACAAAATCATGTCAACTCACTTATAAACTTGAACTAGATATAAACTTAGTTAAATTTGTAAGTTTACCTTTGAATTTACAGTTTTATATTTCTAATTTATAAAATCGTGTCCACTAATTCATAAACTCGAACTACATGTAAGCTTGATGAAACTTGTTAAGCTCATCATTTTTTTTTGAGTTGAGTGAGTTAAGTATATACTATAAAGAATTCAGTTTATAGAAGTTATAAAACCTAGTTCAAAAAAAAAACTTGAAATGCAAAAACTAATATTAATTGAAAAAAGAAAACAAAAATATTAAAAATAAGTTCCCCTATTTTAAAATTTTTATGTCTTGTATATAATAATTTATCAATGTAGATGGGTTTAGTTTCAATGATTTATATTTTTACTATATTTAGACTAAATTACAATTATATTTTAATAAGTATTTGTTAATAGAAGTAAACTTTTATGAGTTTAAGATCCGAATTTATGATACGAGTTTACATTCCCGTTATAAGTTTATTTAAACTTGTGAATTTAACAACCTTGCTTGCTTCTTTTAATTAAGGAAATATACATTTTTATTATTTTTGAAATATCACGGTCTATTTGGCACAAGTTTGTGTGGCTGGAATAGCCCTGATTACAGACATTACATATTAGTACTCTACATTCACCTTTATATTTATTTAAGAGGATAAATCAGGATTCGTATCTCATGTCCACTACCAACAATTGAAACTCCATCCAAGTACTACGGTTTATTGAGATTGGAATCAGTACTGTCTCTAATTATTAGGACTTTCATCCACAAACCCTACCAAACATATCCACTCAATTGCTTCCTTATCTTTTCTTGGTGTTGGTACCACATGCAAGACAGCAAATAATGCAATGGATCAATCTAATTATAAAAACCTTTACACCAAAGCAATGAGTTGTCTTTGGAGATTTCTTTCACACCAACTAACGACACAAATCCTACAGGAATTCGTTATGCTGGCCTCTTGAGTACAACATTAACGAAAGGCATCTCCAACTTCATTTTAATTACAAGTTTAACAACAATTAATATTAATATTTTTGTCTGCTTATCAGGTCAAAGTATTTAGTTGTGTGTGGATTTGGATGATGTTTTAAACAACTTCTTGGTGAGGAATGTCACCCAAGAAATTTGATTAAACAAAAATAAAAATAAGTTGTTGAAGAAAAAACTAGCTAGCAATGTATTTTTTTAATCAAATGATTGAATTCTTAATTAAGTTTGCCAAAAATTGAAACCGATTTGTTCCAGACATGAAGTGCTTGATGTTTTTGCCAGCTGGGAATCGTATAAAGCTCTCAGCATAATGCGTTAGTATAGAAAGAGATAACAAAAAATTTCCACTTCTAATTAAAAATTAACTAATGACATATTTTTAATTCTTTAGTCTGAGCAAATCCTCCTGTAATCTCCTTTTGAATATAATTATAGAAGGGGAGCGCCTGATTTTATACTTTTTAATGCATCGATTAATGCTCAACTATTTGCTCATATATCAAGTACTCATGAGGGGTGCGTTGCTTTCAATATCTGGGTCATATCAGTTCAATTATATTATGATTTTAAAGTTAGAGGATTGAGGACCACGGGACCCAGTGAACTTTTTTATATGAAATGTTTATCAATATTATTTATAATTCAGTATGACAACGACATGATCCCAACCTTCATTAAATAAGCTGCCGAGGGTCAGTTCTGTGAGGTCGTATTTAAATTCACAGGCACCTTCATAGCTAGTTCATGACTTAGGTGTTTTCTTTTTATTATATAACTTTTCTTTATTCTCTATCGTGTAAACTTTTCCCATAACTTTCTAAACTGGTTTTTTGTGTTTTTGTTTAAAATTTTCCACTCCACTATAATGGCAAAGTGTACGAATTATTCCATGGAGAAATTCTCTTTACATATTATAGCTAGGGTTTGGTGCATTCTCCCTCTTTGCTTATCGCCTCCTCCAACAATTGATGATATAATTTCCGGATGCTTTCTAGAACATGCAATTTGCTCTTGGTTTTGAAAGAATCGTTCAATGATTAATTTTGGCGAAAAAGTTTTGCAGTCAAAATTTTTCCTTTAGTAATTAATCACCCTTATTAGTTTAATATTTAGTAATGAACCCCACTCCCATGTTTAACGCTCTTGAAAAAGTATCTAGTTAGTAACAAAAAAAGTATTTAGTAATGTTCACTTATTGTTGAAGTTATCATATAGGACGAAAAAGTTACCTGGAATAAAGCATCATCTAATTTCTTCGCTAGGTGATGTGAAAGCAACTTTTTTTTTTTTTACAACATTTGAAACCAAAATTTTAGAAACATTATTGGATTCTAGAAGGATGACACGTTTATTGAATAAATCCTTGTTTTGCATGCTTATTAATTCCTTGCGTGAAGAGAAAAGCAATTAAATTATTTAGTTGTTAACTAGGCTTTTAAAATATATGCTTTGCAGTCTCAAAAGTATAACAAATATTACCTAGTGGATGTACCACAAATGGTAGTAGTCCGGGCTCTTTAAGTATAATTCTAAAATTTGATTATTGGATGTGTGTATGAACAAATATTACTTGAGAGAAGATAACTCTTTAAATGACACTTAAATTTCTCGAGAGATTAATCTCATCGCTACCGACTGTGAGAATATCTTGAGCAACAAAAAAAAAGGTATAATATTATTTGTCATCTCGTATTGATTGTTTGACATGGTAGCTGTATAGTTAATGTCATGCTAACTTAATTATGAGGGTAGAAAAGAAAATCTTCAATAAATACATAAGCCAATGCGTAATTATATTTCTGATAAAAAGGTACTAAATAATAGTTATCAAAAGAAAAATTACATGGCAGATGAGTAGAAAACTTTTATGGCAGGTGAGTTTATCACTCATCGCATGTTGGGGGATGCGGAAGATCTTGGTTATAGCCGCCTTTTGTCCCATTATGGGCCTAACCCTAACGATCATTATTTCTCTCTTTGCTCTCCACTGATCATCAAAGATTAATTTGGTTTTGCTTTCCTAACAACCCAATCATGATGAAGTGATCTTTCAGACTCGATCGGTTAACCCTAATCTTAATGATATAATTCCCATCTGTAACCAACCAAATTCCCCAAAGATCGATCTTATGTTTCACAACAAACAGACAAGGAGTCGGCGGCATAACCCACCTGGTCTGCAAGAAGATAACGACGATGTTCAAAAGAAGCTGATCCGAAGGTACACAGAAAGACAGAGGAGGCAAGAAATGGCGGATCTTTCTGCTTCTCTCAGATCCTTGCTCCCTCTCGATTACATCAAGGCATTCTTTTTCTTAAGTTGTACTTAGAAGCTCATCTTTCTTAGCCAAGAAAATAGCACCGTAAAAATAGTTGTTTTATCAATTAGGATTACATATGTTATTAGGAAAAAGGAAAAAAGAAAGAATTGAACAATTAAGAAGCCATGATTTGTAGCCCACCCTGGATCATGTATGTTAGGGTTGAATTCTCTTCTATATATATTATCTTGTTCCATTTAGAATTTTAGTTAATTCATCCCCTAAAAGTAATTAAAGCATGATTCATAAGGATATCATGCATTGCTGCTGATTTATCATATCGTATTGAAGATGATGGGCTTGATTTGATTAGGGGAGGCGATCGATATCAGATCACTTAAATGAGGCTGCCAAATACATCAAACAACTACAAAATAGGATCGAGGAACTGAGTGGTAAGGGGAACAAGCTAAGGATGATGTACAGCATGAATGTTGATAACCCTGAGATTTCAACCTTAACCAAAGCCACAACTGACCCACCAACGAATGTTATTACTGTTACTCGAAGTTTGGCTGGGGTTGAGGTTGTTTTCGGCACAGCTCAAATGTTTCCTCTATCAAAACTGCTGGATTTACTATTCAAAGAGGGCTTAAGAGTTCTTAATTGTGTTTGCACAAAAGTAGAAGGAAGGCAGATCTACATCATCCACACTGAGGTGCGTAATATTTTACTTTTCTGTGTATGTTTCTTCAGAGAAAATTAAGGATACTATGATCTGGTGTACTGAAGAATTTTTGCTTCCAAAACTTATCATATTATTCTTTTGCTTAATTTCTAGCATTAATTTGCAGGTTTCTGATCTAATTGGGATCGAACCCTCTGCATTAATTACAAAGGAAACTAGCAGAATCAATTCCTTCAAGTAATAACTCTTCTTTCTAAGTGTTAAAATTTTCCTTCATCTTCTGTATCTTTGAACTGAGGAGCAGAGAAAACATAATCAAGAAGGTTAAATTTGTGAGCAAAGGCATTAGTCTAGTTTTGTGACTAGTTTGCCTTCCATCAGTTGAAAACATGAAGTTCTAGGTTATAGGGATTATATTCTATATAGTCTGGATATGTAGCTATAAAATGAATTAACGATTTTCTTGCAAGTTAAAACAAATTAAAAAAGGAAGTAACAGAGAGTTATAGGTTTGGCCGTTTGGAGTGTAAATAGCTAGTTCATGCATTTATACATCCATGAATAATTGAATATGTCATAATCGATCAACAAAGAAGTTAACAAATACTGATTGACTGGCGAATGAAGCACATTATATATGATTATAGAAGAGTATATCATCATCATGCCACTTGGGGCTGACCTGCTTTCCTTTCCCTTGTTAAGGCTTTGCCTTCCTTTGTATTGGAAAAAATATAGCCTAATGGTTTTGGCGCCAAAACAAATAATAATATAGCGTAATCTCATTGATATAAGACTGAAAAACAGAAAACTAACTACTTAACAAACTCCCTAACAGAATAAACTAATTTTCCTTAAGTATTCCTCATCTGAAAAGATGTGGGATTATTCAAAGCATTTTTGGGCACTAGCTTCTGTTATATTTATGTGTTTAACAATTAAAAAACCCCAAATATAATATGAATTAATAGTCTATTTGTTATGATGTTATCATATCATAGCTCGTTCTCGTTCATATATAAGAAGAGTTGAAGAGATAAAGTAAAATGCATAATTCAATGGTGCAGGATACGGAAACTAGTTTCAGCTTGAAGACTCATCGAAGATATAAAGGTGCTGAATCTTCAAGGTTTCTCCATTTATGGTATTGTCTCGCAAAACTTAAATATTTTTTTACTTGACAAATAAATTTTAGTTTGTTATTTAATGAAAAAGAATGTATATGCTTGAATATTTCTTTTTCTATATTTTTTACTTTAATAAATTCTATAGTTCATTTAGTTAAAAAAATGAGAAATTTTACTATTCACGTCAACATGATTTAGTATATTTTATTATATTATATTGCCTAATATAACATAGTATATCTTCTCAAAATATGTGAAATTTATACTTTTTAAAAGGTCTTCCACTCTTCCTAGTGTGAGCTACAGCACTAAAACCTCTTTATTAATGTCGCTTCCGTGTTGCTTTAATTTATCAATTTTATCATAAGTAATTAATATTAACAATGCATACGATGTCCCAAATTTTCATATTTATGCAAGAAAAAGTACATGCAACATTTTATATTATGATACGAAATTGATTTACGATGTTTCAATCGATTTCACCAAGGTTGGTCAATGCTGACGAAATTTAATGAGCATAATTTTGACAAGTTATATGTGATGAATTGATTGATAAATAATTATTGTGATTAACTAGCTCGGCAGCTCAATTATGTCTCTCTAGTTCATTGCTTAACACTGAAACATTTGAGCAAGGTTCAAAATGCTGGCAGACCAAAATAAAAAATAAAAAATTATTCTGATTAATGTGATTTAAATAAGTTAATTTTTAAAAGAAATAATGTAACTAACTTTTAATTCTTTAAATTTGTCTTGTTTGTTGATTTGATCCATTAAATTCGATTTTCATCGATTTAAGTTTACCTTGATTTTTTATTTGGTTCTTAGAGTATTATTTAAAAAGAAAGTAATACTATTGAAGTAATGTGACATATAGTCATGTAACTGTGTAATTTACCTTTTTTGAGCCTTTTCTTATATATGTATATATATATATATATATATTCATATATATATATATAATTATCCTATAGTATTACAATTAAACAAGTACGATGTCTTATTTTTTGACAAAAAAGGGAAAATCAAATTAAATATTAGTATCCCAATATCAACGGTTGTTAGTTAAATTTTTTGGTTTTAAAATTTGATATACTATTAAATAATCAAGATTCCAATAGTTCTCTCAGTCTTTGTTTTGTATACACAACTTAAATAACTTTTGTTTTTTGAGCCACACAAGACTTAAATATATAAGACCATGTAAAAGACATCAAGCCTTTTCTATTTGATTCAAGTATTATCATATTTAATGCAATCATATTTCAAACATGTTAATAAAAGAATATCGATAAACAATAAAATAATACCTGAAACCAATAAAGAAAAGTATTATCATGTTTTAAACGAGATATCTCTCAATGTTTTATATCAAAGTATACAATGTATATTCAATAAACATGAGAAAATTTACTTTATAAAAAACTCAATTAATCGATATCATCAACACAAATATGAACGCTCCCCAATCATAACTAGAGTGATCGACGATTAGCAACAGCCGAGGTAGATGATGCCCTTCTGTATCATACTCTAGTCCTCTCTATTATTGTCCAGGGCATGGAGGATAGGTTGGGGGAAATGGCAACTAAAACCAAACCCTTAAAAAGGTTTAATTGATGAGGACTCACAAGTAGTTGTTTAATTTAAGTTTTGAAAAACATTTAAGCATTTAGAATTTAAATTTTATCAAATTTAATAAAGTTTTTTTAAAAGAAAAAAATTGATAATGATTTTACTATTTTAAAAACAATTACAATCACCATTTTAAGACCTAGGGCTTCCAAGTGTGATTTTTTCCAGAAGTTATGGTTTGGAATGGGTAACTTCAGGCGGGCCCAGCCCTGCCGACAAATGGGGTCCACCAAAAAGTGAACGTGCATAATTGCAACTTTAACATTTTCCACTCTTCCAACATTTTGTTCCTAACAACATATTCATTCCCATGTTGTTACCGTTAGCCTCTCTCGATATCTTTCTCTCTCCACGCCTTCTCGTGAAAAACAGATCCTATAACATCTTTCTCTGGTCCACCTCTTCCCTATTTAGAGCTCTCTTCTATTCTTTTATACTCTGTTTGATACATATATATATATATGCTATAAAAGTTTGTTAAGCTCTAATAATTAACCTTATTCTAAATATTTTATTGTTATTTTCTACTGCAGCAAAAGAAGTACGGAAGAGGAAAAAAAGAGAAATTGTATGCTATATAGAAAGGGAAGGGACTAGGCAAAAACTCGAAGACTAAGATTGGAGTCTTTGTTCAATGCTTTCCTTTCCACCAAAACAAGGAGTCTTCCATTTTATATACCCACTAATGTCCCAGAACAAGATATTGCAGACCATCGAGATCTGATTCTTGGCCACCAAATCACTTGAAGGGAGTGATCCTGCCACAACCTACCACAATGAGCAGAGGGAAGAAGCATCATATTACACTGCCTTCTTCCGACAATAATCATGATGATGAGAAGAAGATCATTCGTAGGGAAACTGAAAGGAACAGAAGGCTGCAAATGACCTCCCTTTGTGAATCACTCCGATCTCTGCTGCCTTTTGAGCTCATCAAGGTGTTTTAATTTGAACTTTCTATTTTCTTCCTCCAGATTTACGTTTAGTTAATTTTATGTTCTTCTGTCAATTCATAAATGGTCACAAGAAAGCCGAACTATGTGGGCTGATTTAGGTTTTTCCTTGATCTGGTTACAGGGAAAGCGTTCAGTGTCCGATCACATAGGAGAGGCTGCGAGTTATATCAAAGAGTTGAAGGAGAAAACCCGAGAACTCGAAATTAAGAGAGATATGCTCAAACAAAATGCTAATCCAAGTTTGCTTGGCGGTGCTGGAATAGATGAAAGCTCAAGCCATTCAAATGCTGTCAAATGTGTAAGCATTTCGCCTTTTCCGGGTGGCGTCGAAATTTCTGCAGACAGTGGCTTGGAGGAAAACAGTTTTCCACTGTCATTCTTGGTGGAAATATTGATGCAAGAAGGATGTAATGTTGTAAGCTGTGTGTCCACCCAAGTGAATGGGAGGCTATACCACTCCATTAAGTCTGAGGTACTAACAAATAAGCAATTTTTGACTAGGGTAGGGTTTCTTGGCCAGACATTTAATTAAAGTAAAAATTAAAAATTCAATGAATTTCTAGATCAATTCTTGAACAGGTGGATAACTTGGAAAGCCTTGATATAGCTGGGCTGGAACAGAAACTGAATGATGCAATCTTGTGGTGAAGGTGTAAGTTGGAGTGATATGGATTTGCTTTGAGAGTGCTTTTTCTGCTTTGTGAGCACGATCGATCTGCATATGTAATATAATTCTGGATTGTTAGCTAGTTCGGACTAGATGTTTGTTATTGTTAACTCGTAAATTTTGGATTTATTTGTATATAGTGTGTCAAATTCACAGCAGTGGTTAGCACTGTGTATTAATATCTTGGGGGAAATGCAAATTTGTACTCCTTTCAATTATGAGAAACTTGTAAATACTCTTCTAAGTTAGAAAAATTGACAAAAATGCCCCAAGTTTTCACATGTTTGTAATTAAATTCATTTACCCAATTCTTGATATAATTGAGTTGGCAGAGCAATTTTATGTCAGATTTCACTTATAACTTGGTTTAAGATGGAAGTCGTTGAAGCTATTGTTCAAATGGAAAGGAGTGACATTTAAAAAAAGAAAGAAACTCCAGGTTCTGTTTCTAAGACAAGAAGAGTGTTGTACGACAAAGTCATAGGTGAAATATTTAGTAAAAATCAACTGTTTTCTTAAAAAGTAAGGGCAAATGAATTTAATTGCAAATAAATGAAAGAGGGAGTATTTAATTATTGGTTTTTATGACCAGCTGGGAGCAGCATTGTATTTGAAGATGAGTTATAAACTGAGGGGAATATGTATTTCTTAGTTGTTATAACTTAGCTCAGAGTTCTTGCAAATGAAAATGGATTGTAGTAGGAGGTATTTCTATTTTTCCTACTTAGTGTTGTGTGTGAGAGAGAGAGAGAGAGAGAGAGAGACGAAATATAGATGCTGATTGCAATTTAATTTGCTGGAATGTTCTGTGCTGTCATCTCACTCAGCAGTTAAATTAATTTGGGGAGTCCTAACTCATCAACTTGCTGAAGTAGTATATACATGCACACATCACTAAAAGCATGGTTTTGCATTTTGGTGTAAATAAAAGATCGGGAAGTGAGTACTCCACCTCACTGCCATATCACCGCCACATCATTTGTTACTATCATGTTAAATATTATATCTTCAATTGTGCTTTGGCTAAGTTTGAACTTGCAACCTCATACTCCCTAGTGTGTTTGTGTCTACCTTGTTGTTAGTTGAATTGAAAAGAATCTTCAATATTAATTGATAAATTAAATATATAATACTTAACCAAATACATATTAATAAATATATTATGTAAATTATTATTAAATATAGTATTTAAATTTACTTATTTTTTAACATTATATTTATTTATTAGTATGAAAAAATTAATTTATATATAATAATTATTTCTATTATATTTTTTTAAAAAAATTTTGATAATAAATTTAATATTAAATTGAAAAATATTTTATTATCATTATATATTATATTATAATTTGTATCTATATAATATATAATATTTTAAATTTTTATTTCTGAATTATTTTATTTTATTTTATTTTTAAATAAGAATAATTAAGTATAAAATTTAAATTATTATTAATAATATACAAATAATTTAAAATAATAAATTATTTTAAATTATAATTTTTAAATTATTTATTTACAGCATAATAATAAATTATTAAATAAATTATATGTAAATATATTATAAATAATAAAATTAAATTAAAAATAATTTGTGATAGAATTAGTGATGGAATTATGACAGAAAGCTTTATAACGAAATTTTCCATCACAAATTCTGTCACTAAATCAAAATAAGATATCCTGATCATTAGTAACAGAATTTTGTTTTGATAAATCATTTTTGATGAATTAACGACAGAACAATAATAAAATTTTAATAATAGAACAGTCTATCGCTAAATTAGCGATGAATTACGGTCGCTAATTTGCTTTTTTTTGTAGTGAGTGTATTGGTTGTCATGCTTTTGGAACTAATCAACACGCCATGATAATAACTTGCTTGGACATATGAAAGAACTGAAACATTTTCAATTTCTTGGATTGTAATTCATGAAGAACCAAAGTAAATTCTTGATACATACATGATTAGCCATAATTAATTTATCATACCGATGGCTTGCAGTAGGCAGGGGCACTGATGATATATTGGTTACCTGCAGGAAATAATATATTACGCTTTTGAGTGAAACATATTGATGATGATTACTCTATGCCTAATGATTTCCTATGACACTTGTTACCCCTGGGCGCCAGTCAATGTTTTGATTCCAATTTTTTTGGTTGGGGATTATGATCCGGAGAGATTAATATTGCATTGTTTGAGCCAGATTTGCGTCTTGATTCATGCATGCTAGCTTGTGAATCTTGTGAATCAAGAGCCGGAAGGTCTTGGACAATTGTAATTAACATATATTAGTATGGCGGCAGAGAGTTGCTTGTAGATTATATATTTTATATATATGCTCCTTACTTTTGCCTGCGCACACTAAATTATTAAAATGACGCCTTTTTATTTCCTCAGTTTCTCGTTTCAGCTGATGTATCTGCACTTCTTGGGTAACACCGGTGACAAGAGTAACACACCATTTGAAGGACTTTTATTACATGAAAAACATAACTATTGATGCCTACATTTTATTCAAATTTTACTATAAATTTTTGTACTTTTTTTTAAAGTTTTAAGTTCTTATACTTTTATTTTTAAGTGTTTTAAGTTCTTATAAACCACTCATGAAGGGACCTATAGTAGTGAAAAATAAATGTGTAAGAGCCTATAATGCTGAAAAGAACTGCAAGGATTTATAGGAATACTTAAGCAAAGTACAAAGATTCAAAATTATGTATTTCCTTTATTATATTACAATTACAATTATGAAGAAAGATTCTGGTTCTAAGAAAAGAATTCAAAACTGATTTTCAAGTATTAATAAATATGAAAGTATATTATTGATAAACTTTTCATTCAATGTTCAAGTATTACTTCCCATAATATTTGCAAACATCTAATTTTTTACTTCGTTAAAGCATGGCTTGACATTATATATCATGGAATTCAATAACTATATATAATTACACACACTTGCAGAGTAAATTCTTTCTAAAACCTAATTAACTATTCTTAAATAGTACAAAATAGTTAGAAGCCGCCGCTCAATATATTGGTCGATTTCCAATTGTCACGTCTTGAAGCTCCTGGCTTTCCTTGAAAGCTGCCAATATTCATATACTATAAATCACATTTTGCAGATATTCAAACTCCCAAATTCATAGCAAATTTACAAAATTAGTGGTTGATGTCATATAATATTATAGAATTTGTCTATCAGAGCTATTCTATTCAATAAAATTATACCTTGTATACGCGCGCTCACATATCATTTGATTAATAATTAATGTTAATATATTTGAAAATGTTAAGAATTAAATTTGTAATACCTGTTCTCATCTTTTTTAAATTAATTTCTGATTCAAATTTGCTAATTATGGATGTCTAATAATTTTGAGAAGCTTTTGCTCTTCATCTCCCAAATCCTACCCTAGATGAGGATATTTTAATTATTGCCTTTGTTTCCATTATCTTGTCCCAAAATATGCCAAAAAAACAGGATTTTCTACAATATTTTTTAATATGGAAATTCAATTGTGAGTTGACATTAGAAAAAGAGAGAGGTGCCATACATAATATACAGTTTTAACTAAATAATATATATATATATATATATGTATATTAAAAGATCTAATAAACTCAAACAAGATTTTAAAATTTTGAGTTACAATATTACATTTTATTATCGATTTTATTCTATTATATTTCTAACATGGATGTTATCTTTTTAAAAAAATTAATTATTTGATCCTTATAGTTTTGACTCATTTATAATTCAATCTCTAAATTTTGAGTTTTATAATTTACTCCTTATATTTTTAATCATTCAAAATATTAGTTCCTATATTTTAAAAAATAAAACTGTAGAGATTAAAATTAAGGTAAAATTTATTATTAATATTTTAAATTACTAAACCCTTTCAACGTTTATAAAGAATATAAATATCAAAATTTTAAAATTTTTAATCTTTATAATTTTATTTTTTAAAATATAGAGATCAATATTTAAATAATTAAAATTATAGGAATTGAATTGCAAGAAATAAAATTCAGGAATTGAGTTACAATCGAATTAAAAACTATAAGGACTAAGTTACAATGAGTTCAAATTTGATGATTGAGTTATTATTAAGTTAAAACTATTTAAACTAAATGATTAGTTTTTCCAATCTTTTATTATTGATTCGCACGTGTTAACCACTATATATATTTAATACAAAATATAACCATGCTCAATGATTATGCCACTATTCATGACGCGCAGGCGAAATTACTAACCTTAAACAACAGGATCCTAATGATTTGAACCGCTGTATTAAATATTAGTGAGAAATCAAATTGGGAGACAGATGTTATAAAAGTCCAACTTTGATGGGAAAATGAATCCTTCACTTAAATTTTCCTCATTGTTTTGTCCAGATTCTTTCTCCATCAAGAAGCTTTAAAAATTAATATATAATACAGGCATGGTATAGTTGACCAATTATATACATACTGCCGCTATTGTTACAGTGGTAAACAACGTGTTTCACATAATATCCACATGTTTAGCACTTACCAGTAGAAAATAATAATAAAAACCAACAAAGGTCTTAATTAATAAGAATTTAATCTATAATTTATAAAATTATAAGTTTAATTCTTATTATCAATATAAAAACTTTGGTAGTACGCAATTTATAAATAAATTTGTAAATGTTTTTTGAATTTGAAGGCATATTTTTTAATTTTAGTGAGCTTTTAAAGCCCAACTCACCTAAACTATTTTATATATATAAAAAGAAACTAACAATAATGTAAAAGTCAAATTCACTAGAATTTGGCTTAAATTTGCATCATGATTCATAAGCTTCCCATAAATATAGAGTATAGCAAGTCACCAGGTATATAAAGTGAAAGTGGATTTAAATTTTGTTACTGATATGAAAAGTTTTGTTGATAGATAATATGTAAATGTATATTTTTATCAACCTTTGGGACCTAACTCACCAAACTTTATTATATATAAAATATAAAATAATCTTAATAATCAATCATCAAATATAAGTACATGGAAAGCTGTATGAATTTATTTGCAAGCTAAGTCATCATCTGTTAGTCTAAAAGAAGGAATACAATGGAAAGCATGCATTATATTTAATTTATATTTTCCAAATTCGATTATGCTGAATATAAGAAGATAACGGATTATAAAATAAGCTCATGGCGATTATCATCCATGCCCCACCGGAGCATTAGTTTAATAAAATAGACCAAAAAAGAAACAAATTAATCGTTTTGTTATATATGGGCAGGTCAGATCGGAGATATGGGTATATCCTAGCAAATATATATCAGACAAAAGAGAGGTCTTAAACCCTAGCTAGCAACAGCCATATAATTAATACCAGAATATCTTTGAAACCCCAAAATATGATGAAGCCGTTGCATCCAGTCGGCGATGAAGATTTGTTCTTTATGATTCCCTTTCAGAACCCTTCTCCTCTCTCAATACAAACGATCCCAGAAGACGACATCTTTCATGATCCTGCAGAAGTGAAGGCTTACGAAAGCTTTCCACCTAATTTTGGAAGTGAAGTTATACCAAAGGGGAGGGGCAAGCAGCAGCAAAATAAGGAATTTCCAGTTAAAACAGCTGAAGATGCTAACAAGAAGTGGATGCATAGAGAGACAGAAAGACAAAGACGACAAGAAATGGCCACGCTTTGCGCCTCCATCAGATTGGCTTTGCCTCTCGAATATATCAGGGTAATTTCTTGATCTATCTAATCTAATATTCATGAGCTTCTCTAATTTGATTGAATTTTCTCTGAATTTTAGTATATTGTCAATTGATGATATCATCAGGGAAAGCGATCAGCATCTGATCAAATTGATGGGGCTGTGAAATATATCAAACACCTAGAGAACAAGGTCAAGCAATTGATGGCAAAGAGAGATGAGTTGATGAAAAATGGAAATGGAATCTCTGTTATTATTCATCCTTACCAGGGTGGAGCTGAGATTAACTGCAGTTATAGATTCAGAGAGTACTTATTTACTCAGTCAACACTCTTGAGTATTTTGATTAAAGAAGGGCTTAATGTGGTGAGCTGCACTTCTATCAAAAGGGATGAGACGTTCATTCACACAATCCGATTAGAGGTACCGCATATTATATATGCATCAGCTTTTCGTATAAACTGAGCAAAAAAAGACTGTATTTATAAGTTATATAGTCAATTAGTCCTAAAAATTTGTTATAACTTTCCCTGAAGGTTTCTGATATTGGTGAGAGTACTACTGACCATTCTGAACTGCAAAGGAGGCTTACTGCAGCAATATTATCTACAGAACACAGGTAATCATCTTATTGGTTTGCCAAAAGGAATGCCTGATCGATATAATTCATTTGGTTCTCTCTTGATTGAAAATTAACGTATTGTCATTGGTCTGAATATGACTAATTGACTAATTGTAGCTAGATTCTTTTGCAGAGACACAGCATCTGAACCAGAAAACTGCTGATATACATGTTTTGTTGCGAAGAAGGTCACTGATATTGGACTTTACTAATTTGAGGCGGTAATTGTATATCCACGTGTAATAAAAAACATGGCTGAAGTATAGAGTGCGTTTGAATAAGGGGGGTAAGTTCCTTGGCAAGAATAGGCATTACATGTCTTCATTCACTGATATCTTTTCCATGCAAGTTAAAAGCCATGTTATTCTTATGTGAATTGGTCATGTATATAGCTAGCTACATTCTGAACATTTTGCATAGTTTTGTGCGTTAATTGAACTCTCACAGGGAAATTATCCATGTTGTCAATTTTTATGTAGTTGTTACTTTTAATCCTAATGGTTTTAAAACCCAAAAAAAAAAAAAGTTCAACTAGTATATTTATTAATCCATGTAAAAAAACTGACACACTCTGATTTATCGAACCTTACCTGACAGTAAGATTTACCACCGCGCCTATCTCTTTTGCGGTTGTACGGACCTCACAATCAAAGGAATTTAGTAATTACCAGCATCAACATCTAATTAATCTGAACCATGTCTTAAAGTATTGTATAGCCCATGTCATTAGAAACTTCTACCTGAAATGTGTCGGTTGACAACTTCATTTTATGTAAACGAAAACAATTCGAATACAAGATATTACATTTGTTATGTTTAAAAAGTAAGCATAATAAACGTAATATCGACTTGTTAATATGCATGATTAATCGAGGTGCGCATGTACGTCTTGCTAACTAATGCATGTTAAGCTACAAAAAACTCGATACTTCAAACTTCGATTATGGCACAAAAATGTTACAAAATATTATCATATTTTAATTGTTAGTGCAGCCATTCTGATGGGTTGCCATCATCCCTAACAACCGTCAATGTTAATATTAATGTGAATTATAAAATTTCCATCAAACTTTACAACCGTACGTGAATAATACAAGTGGTTCATTCCTCAATCTCCATACGACATATAAGCAATCAAGTTAATTAACATTTGAGATGAGGGGATGTTGATTCATGTGAATAATATCTGTCAACACAAAGCTTGCAATAAAATCAAATTGATGCATTAATTTGTTAATAGTTATCAAGATGTTTAAAATAATTTGATGGTAAATGTCTCAAAGGAATGGTTCAATATCACAGTTTAGGAACATCTTCGATGCCATTCGATTACCTTGATCCGCATTATGCAAATAATTAATGAACTGTTCTTTCTTGATCCCTTCTTATCAAGGGTGCTCAGGGTTGTACCTGTTTTAGTCAACTCGTACTTATCCTAATCATATTGAATGAGTTTGTCTAGGCCCAAAGAAATTAGGACAGGATGTTTGTGGGACGAGACAGGACTCAAGATACCCATCAAAACGTCCCATCCCCCCTCAATATTTTATATATATATATATATATATTCAAACACATATACATATATTTTCCTTTTAGTATTTATAAATTATTATGTTATTTTTATTGTTTATATTTTTTTACTTCATTTAATTTTTCATTGCTTTGTGATACTCTATTTGGCTAAGCAACTTGCTTGGTGCTTTCTCATAATTATTGATATTGATTTGAAGAATTAAAAAAGCAAATCCAGATTGCTGCCATTCAAGTAATCCAATGAGCTTATTTTTCAAGTTTATGCCTGGTTGTTCTTGATTATTATAATTTAAGTTTATAATAGGCTCCAATCAAATAGCCTACATGTGCAAGGAAGATCTTGTATTTGGGTCACTAATGTTCTTACATTTATATATTTATGTGTTGACACACAAGTGATTAATCATATATATAGAAGTATAATTCTTTATACGTGTTGGTTGAGTATTACTAGTCATTTGAAAATACAAGTAAAGGTGGTTATCTGGATGTCCTAGTTCCACCCTGACTCCTACCGAGACAAGATAAGATGTGGAACAAAATTTGAGTCCCAATCATGTTTTAAGATAGAACACGGGATAGGATAGGGATATCCTGATCTCATCTTGTTCCATGAACACCCCTACTTTTTACTATATCATATGGAGGAGTATTATGAGTAGAATCCAAAAAGATAATCCATTTTAAAAGACTAGTTTGTTGAGTGAGAAAATCTTTTAAATTTATAAAACGCATTTCATTTGTCAAGTTCTCGATGTAAGCTAACAACATTAATGCCATTGTGTTCCATAGCCACTATCCTAATGATTCCACTAGATGGCACTTTACTTAGTCTTCTGCTAGTTAGAACATTTTGTGAGTAGCTCTATTCATGACATCAACCTCTCAATATATAAAAGCACTAATATTATGAGCATCATGTTTAAAGAAAGAGCTTATCCAAAAGATTAGTGTGTTAGATGAAGAAATTTTTTAAATTTATAAACTTTACTTTATTTATGAGCTCTTTGATGTGAAACTTATGATAGAATATGAGAGATTAAGTCGATTGAAAGAGAGTGGTTTTTTTCCCAAAAAAAAAAAACAAGAACAAGGACGAAGAAGAAGAAACAGAAAAAGAAAAAGACTTCACATTATATGTCAAATCTTACATGAATCTCTTTGGCAGGTGTCAGATCAGCTTCAGTGATGGACATATGGGAAAAGTGAGTGGATGATTATTAGCTTCTCTTTTATGCATAAAAGCAGCTAGACCGGGGTCCGGGGTCCATATATTTGCATAAAATGTGAGATGGAACATTGTAGCTCGCGAGGTACTTTTGTGTTTTTTTTTTTTTACCAACACTTATGATAACATAACATTAACATCAGATGATTTATTCGTTAGACGGATTATGCCTTGGTCTTGAGGTTCTGCTATCATATTCTTCCAACAGCCGACAGAATTGCATGATAGTAATTCAAAACGGATGCTTGAGCATATTGTTTATTGAATAATTATTCAGATTTAATTTGTAAATATATATAATTAAATACATTGCCTAGTCATAGGGCTGAAAAAGTTGGCCGGTTGCCCAAGAATTCCGGCCCTGCCAAGGCGGCAGAAAAATAGGCCGAACAATTTTGGGCATGGTCGGTCTAACTTGAAGCTCAGGTTAGACAAGGTTTAGCGGCAACCTTCCCAACAAACCTGCTTAGCTCGACTCTAAGGATCTTTTTGTAAAATATTATATATTTTACAAAAATTGATATCGTTATACATTTTGAATAAAGAATCCAAGTTATGGTTTGAAAATAACAATCAAAGTAGGCGATTTTATTTTACAGACAAATTTCATTTTTTGTGTTTTGACTAAAGAAAAGGATCATGGATATGCAAACGAAATATGAAGGTCAAATATGTTTAGTTTTAATTTCAAATAATTATTTAATCTTTTTCATTTTTTGTTCAATAATTCCATATTTTTTTTTTTTCATTTTTTGTTTTTCATTGTTATTGGTAATTTCAAATAATATCATTTGTTAATTAATTCCACATTTAAATTTTTTTAATCCATCTGGCTTTTTTTTACAATAATGTTAGGTTATTTTAGCACCTCGTTCATGATTAATAACATAAAAAAAAAAAATTCATCTAGATCATTTAGATTTGTTATTCTTTTAGCTTGAACGGCATAAATTGATTAGGGTTATGTACTTTACCAATATATATGGTTAAAAATAATAATAATAATAGTTTAGCATGCTGGCACTTAGCCCGAACCAGACCTTGTCTGCCCACCCAGCATCCAAGCACATGCATGGATTTATTAGGGCCCTGCCTAACCTTACCCATGATCAGCTCTACCTAGTCAGATGGCAAACTGAAAAAATGATGGCCACGTTTGGAAAGTTGTGATTGTACTCGTCTTTCAAGAGCTAGAATTATAAATTTGATCGACGTTGTTAATTATATTACAAATTATATATTGTTCCGTCTTTGGGTTGGTGATATTTGCATAGTTAGTCCCATGATCATGAAAAAGGAAAAAAAGTACTTGGCAAAGATATGATGCAGGTCAACCATATTTCACATTAAGCTTGATATTAAAAGAAAATATTCTATAATTACAAAGTTGTGTGATTAAATATAAGATATTGAAGATATCAATGTACCAAATATTACAACATCTGTTAAATCAAGATTAGCTTCGTTGTCATATCTTCTATTATAATCATGATACATTGTTTGTGTAATTGCATACAGCAGTGGTTAGATACGATGTAATTGAATTTACATTATGGATCATTTAAAAAAATAATATTATTTGGATATTTTGAAGATTCTCCTTGACGACATCGTTATCATCGAAATTATTACCAAAAAGTAAAATAAAATAAAATAAAATAATCATATTGCACGAATGGAACCAAGATCATGAAGATACTCTTTTAATGGATAATTTGTTGCAACAAATAATTTGAAACAGCTGATATTTGTGGAAGATATGTGGAAAAATACCTGGCTAGGTCTCACACAAAAAAATTTATCACTAAGATATCCCATGAAATTCATAAAATAATTTTAAATTTTAAATCTTGTGCATTTACAACTTGACAAAATACATTATTTTTCAGTTATAAATATCCTTTGTCAAATTATAAATGCTTAGGATTAAGGACTTGGGAATATTTTATAAATTTTATAGGATCTCTTAGTAATAAATTATTCTCTATGATATTTAAGTGTAATTCTTTCAAAATATATGGGAAGTTCAAGAGAAATGTTTTTTTTTTAAAAAAAGAGTACTCCGTACAAAAAGGAAAATAACCCTTACATTCCCGTGCAGTCTCATTGTTGTCATGTGATCCTTTTTGAATTTATAATTTCCAAAAAAATTTATAAGAACTAACTAATTCGAACAAAAGCTACACATTTTGCACAGTGAATGAGACAATATATGGTTTAAAGTTCAACCAAAATTTTATGAACCCACTATCTTTTTCTTTCTTTCAAAAAAAAAAAAACTGATCATTGAAGCTTATATAAAAGTAATATAATCCCATTTATTAACAGGGACATCCGCATTTAACTCTTAATAAATGAGTATGGTCAGGGTATATGCATGCGATATAGCGATATGGCAATTAATACCCACACACACACAGACACACAACTTGAACTCTTGACAATCAAATCTTATATATAGAGCCGGGACAAAAGGCTGTATTTAAGTAAAGATTCAAGTTTTAAAAATTAAAATTTTTTAAAATAATCAGACTTAAAAGTTTGATTTTGATAAATTTTGTAAAAAATAATTTGGGTCTGAGCAACCTTTCAAACTCATTATGTTATTATTAATTTTTTTTTCTTTGGTGGAATACTTGTTTAAAGCCAAAAATGACCTGCTCGTCCAAAGCTCTGATCTTACACATGTTATATTATTATTAATTTTAATTTTTTTAAAATTAAAAATTAATATAATTTAATAAATATCAGTGTACAATGTAAAATTTTTAATATTTTTTATTTTTCTATAATTATTATATTTGTGTATTTATAAAAAAATGAAATGTGTTTTAATCAAGATTTAAATCTTATTACTAGACTTTTAAATGTGTGTTGTTTAATTTTTAAAAGATTTGAGAATTTTAATTTTTTAATTTTAAAATATTTTAATTAATTTATAGTGCTTAATTTTATTTAATCTTTTTAATTTTTTTAGAATAGGGCTTACAGGCTTGATTTTAAACCCTTCAAATAAGAGTCAGGCCTCATAAAAGAAGTGAAAAATGAAAAATCGGGCTTATGTACTCAAGCTCTTATGGGCTATGGGCTGGCCCATAAGGGCTAAGCCTGCCCGTTTTGCAGCTCTACCTATATATCCCAACAAGCACACCGGTTTATTATAATGGTTAAAATTAAAATTTGATTTAATTATCTGAAAAATGTTTATTATTTTCCTATTCTTGAATCATGTCAGCATGAATTTTAATTTTTCAACCAAATTTTGAATTCTCCAGTAAAACAAAAATGCATCAACGGATCGGAAAACCAATCTAAGTTGAAATACTGACCAACTTGTTCCTGACTATTTTGTGTGTATGTGTGTGATTATTATTACAATGGAATAAAGTGCAGATTAACTTGAGGACCCACTCTTGCATACTGATATGATATATCTAAAATTCAAAACGTAAAATATTTTTTAAAGAAAGGCAAGCATGGATTGTAAAGATAGTATGTCTTCATAATTAAGCTTACCTTTATCTTCTAAATTAAGTCATTCAGATTCAGCATGTTTGCGGAATGAACGAATAATGAATATTGGCTAGTCTTTAACGATAGGCAGGCCCCTAATATATGATTCAATTAGAGAAACATCTCACTGCCGACAAATGATGTGGTCCAATAATCTCTTTGTATCAATCTAAATTAGTGACAAATAGCTGTGGAAGAGTGTCCACGAAGATAACATCTGTCATCAAGCACCATCCTCATATATCAACTTTTTCACCTATTTGTTTATTTGTTTAAACCTACGAACCATGCCTATCCAATATAATATTCTTTATTTCTTTTCCAGCAGAATGGAATTTATATATTTGCAAGCTTCTTCCAATCAATATGATGAAGAGCGCAAAAAGTAAACCAGTATACTCACTAAAAGGAAACAAAGCAAAGAACAATCAAATTAAAGTTTTGGTCCTCGTTCGCTGTTCATTCACGGATCAATTCGAGGATTCATCCCTTTCAGACAAATTAAAGTTAAGTGATTGATTTATGGGCATCATATCCAGAAGCTTAAAATATTTGGGAAACACTTCGTGCTTGTTATGTCCCAGCTATATACAATAGCGTTGATTAATGCTCTCTTTTCTTTTGCTTACAACATATTAATATATGTATCTGATTTGTTCGAACAAGCGTGACTTTTAAGTGTTCGAAATTATTAAATTAAGTTAAGAATAGCAGTTAGTAATAAATTAATTGCCACATAATAATGAGAAACTGATGTCCATAATCTCCTACTTGACATTGATAGCCCGAGACATCACAAAATTAGTGAGAAAGAGGAAGGCACGTAGCAGAAATAGATTATAACATATTATGTGATTTGTATAATTCTACTCTTCTCAAATGTGTAACAGCTAATTAAGAAATTTATTTTGGGGTGAAATTTTACTTTGCCTTGGTATTAAATAACATTTTTAAGAGGTTGAATGTTACAAATTGTAAGATATTTTTAGTCTTTTGAGATATAATCATTACTTTTTTTTAAAGTATCTCTATTAAATAAATCACTTTATATTTATTTTAAATTAAAACACTTTATTAAATAAGAGTAAATATGAAAAGATAGCATTACTTTAAAGGCAACTAGATAGATAACTATTTTATTAGGAATAAAATTTAACTAAAAATATTTTATATTTTTTAATAGAGGATGTATTATTTTGTATAGCTGAGCCTGCTTCTTTAAGTGCAAAATATGTATGCATTTATGTGGATTATGAATAAAATGGGCTAAATTTGAAGTAATTGATAACTTGCAGCCCAATTATCAGATCAAATAAACAGCTAGCCCATATGTAATCGTTGACCCGTTGTATCCTTTCAAGTTACTACTCAGACTTATTGTCCAAAAACAATAGTTATGAAAGGCCATGATATTTCAAAAACCTTGATATCATGAGTGGCCTGTAGCAATACGAATAAGAATGATAATTTGTAGCGAAAGGATCCATCTTTAGTCTGAAAGCCAATTTCTTTTCCTTCTATGGCTATGGCGATCTCTTGCCTTTATCGCAGTTTGGTCAACCACAAGCTAAGGATCACGATCTCTTGAAAGCTAAGGAAACGACAGCGTTTCGTGCATATTCATTCTTCTTGTTTTTTTTTTTTTCCCACTGTCATATCCTATCAAACCCTTTTCCACTTAAAAGGAGATTCCACACATATACATTAATACACTCACACTACACACAAGTACACATCACACCCCACACACACATGTACACCCAATATAATTTTCTTTCCTTGATCATTTGATCCAAAAACCCTTTATATCAAGGGATATATGTCATGCTGATTGACTTACAGGCTCTTAGCCTTCATTCATATCTCTTTAGGAGCGGAGATTAATGAAATATGAAACATTGTCCGCTTCAAATGTGATGTTTTACTGATGTAGTAGATCATCAGTTCAGTAGTTGCGTTTAAGAAATTTAATACTAAGGCAAAGTAAAATATCATAATTGCATAACTCGATATTTCAATTTGATTTTTTTAAAAAAATATCTTAGATTTTCTCGAACGTGTTTCGAACCGTTTAGTCAAAACATGACATGATTTGCCCGATCTAGATGAGGTGGGAGAGATGCACGTGTCAAAAAATTAAATCAGGATTGAATTGTGCAGCATTATTGTTCCATGTTCACCTTGGATGGTTATTTGTCCTTCACATAATTTACGGAAAAAAGTTAAAGAGTTTGTTGGAAGAAACTCAGAGACTTATTACATGGTACTCAAGAATATTATTAATTATCAAAATCACATACAGGAAGATATATACTGCATCTCTTGCGAGTTGCGAGGTGACGAAGGGAAACAAAAATAATCAAACGTGGAGGTTATATTTTATTTTTGATTCACACTTATATCATTTGTGAATACGTGTTTATATTATAACCACTATTTATTTAATAAAGAATTATTGTGCCCAATGATTATGCCACCATGATGTGTAAAGAAATTTTGAAAAGATCTACAGATTTGAACCGCTGTTCAAAAGATTAATAACGTGAATTTAAATTGGGAGACAAATGTTCCAAAAGTCTAACTTTGATGGGAAAATGACCTCTGCACAGATATACATTTTCCTTCCTCGTTTCGTCGCCTTTCTTCGCCATAAAGAAGATTTAAAAATTAATATATATTACAGCCACGGTGCTGGACCAATTATTTACGCATACTGCCGCTACTGCTACAGTGGGAAACGTGTAACATATAATATCCACATGATTAATATTAACAAAAAATAATAGTATAAAAGTCAATTTCTGAATTTCCACTGAATTGCTGGCTTGAACTTTTTGCATCCTAATTTATAAGGTTATTAATCGTAGCTAACCACCCATATATATAAAGAAAGGTGGGTTTAAATCCTGGCTATATCAATAATGCGAGTCCTTATTGATGGGTAATTTATTCACCTTCATTAATGCTTGGTGATTAATTTAATGTCACTCAGACTATAAGTCATATGACTTAATTTGCCTAAACTTTTTTATTGTAAAAAAACAAAAAAATAAATATAAAAACCATTTTAACAATCAATAATCATCAATATATATACATACATGAAAAGCTATATTATTTATAAGTCACAAATAATATAGTCTATCTCAAATAATTCAGTGTGCATGTGTCATCATCTAATTAATCTATATAAAAGAAGGAATGGAAATCATGTATTATATGTTAATTAATTTATATTTTCCAATTTGTATTATGTTGAATGTAAGAAGATTACATACAATAAAATAAGTTGATGGAGAATACCATACATGCCCCACCAGAGCATCAGTTTAAGAATATAAAGACAAAAAAGAAACAAATGAAATTGTTTAGTTTTATATCGGCAGGTCAGATCAGAGACATGAGTATATATCCTAGCAAATATATATCAGACAAAAGAGTGGTCTCAAACCCTAGTTAAAAAATGCCACATTAATACCAGAAGATTTCCTTCTTATATCTTTGAAACCCCAAAAAATGATGAAGCCATTGCATCCAGTTGGCGATGAAGATTTGTTCTTCCAGATTTCATTTCTGAACCGTTCTCCTCTCTCAATACAAACGATCCCAGAAGATGACATCTTTCATGAAACTGCAGAAGTGAAGGATTACGAAAGCTTTCCGCCTAATTTTGGGAATGAAGTTATACCAAAGGGGAAGGGAAAGCAGCAGCAAAAGGAATTTCCAGTTAAAAATGCTGAAGATGCTAACAAGAAGTGGATGCATAGAGAGACAGAAAGACAAAGACGACAAGAAATGGCCGCTCTTTTCGCCTCCCTCAGATCCGCTTTGCCTCTCGAATATATCAGGGTAATTTCTTGATCTCTGTAATCTAATATTCTTGAGCTTCTCTAATTTGATTTAATTTTCTCTGAATTTTAGTGTACTGTCAATTGATGATATCATCAGGGAAAACGATCAACATCTGAACAAATTGATGGGGCTGCGAAATATATCAAACACCTAAAGAACAAGGTAAACCAATTGAAGGCAAAGAGAGATGAGTTGATGAAAAATGGAAATGGAATCTCTGTTATTGTTCATCCTCACAAGGGTGGAGCTGAGATTATCTGCAGTTATAGGTTCAGAGAGTACTTATTTACTCAGTCAACACTCTTGAGTATTTTGATCAAAGAAGGGCTTAACGTGGTGGGCTGCACTTCTATCACAAGGGACGAGACGTTCATTCACACAATCCAATTAGAGGTACCACGTATATACGTATCAGCTTGTATATATTTTGAGCGAAGAAAGATTGCGTATTATTTATTATTTCTACAATCAACTAGTCCTAAAAATGCGTTATAACTTTTCTTGAAGGATTCTGATATCGCTGAGAGTACTACTGAATACTCTGAACTGCAAAGGAAGCTTACTGCAGCAATATTATCTACAGAACAGGTAATACTTATTGCCAGTCAAATCTTATGTGCTTGTCAAAAGGACTGCCTGATATATGATTAATTTGGTTTTCTTTTGTCTGAAGATTAACTATATGTTATTAGTCTGAATATGACTAATTGTAGCTAGGTTCTCTTGCAGAGAGACTGCATCTGAACCAGAAAACTGTTGATATGTTGTTGCGCCGATTTTGAACTTTACTAATTCGAGCCATTTGTACCTCCACGTGTAATAAAATCATTGCTGAAATGTAGTGCGCATTCGAATAAGGGGCTAGATGCTTAGGTCGAGAATACACTTTGATATTGGCTTAATTAATTGGTGTCTTTTCCATGCAAGTTACAGACCATGCTATGCTTATGCGAAATGGTTGTGTAGATATAGCTAGGTACTTCTTGTAAATTTTGCATTTGCTAGTTTTGTGCATTGATTGAACTATCACTTGGAAATCATGTTGCCAAAATTTTATTGATAATTTTTAATCCCGTAATAGTTTATAGGGGTGGTTTGTAACCCCAAATAAAAGTTCAACTTTTAATTCTATTCAACCGGTGCGTGCAACTATAAAAAGAGAGAACACACGATTGTTTTCTGGTTGTTTTTGCTGCTGGTTAATGATTTTATTTCTTTGATTGCCCAAAAAAGAAAATTAAAGAGAGAGAACACACTGATTTGTCCATCGCCCGATACCAAATGAGATTTATTACCTTGTCTATCTCCCTCTTGTTCTTGTCATATTAGTTTAGTTTTTGAAAGAAATAAAATTATTGAATCAATCCAAATATTTTGAAGACGGGTATTAAGCCATTATTGAGTGAGTTAATTTCATATTAACCCACATGAATCAATATTCTAACATAAGCCAACATGCATCATCAGTTGACACATATATACATAATAAATGTTAATATATTAATATGAATTGTGAAATTTATAACGAGCATAATTTACAATGCATGAGCAGTGCTCAATAATGCGTACATGCGGTCCATTCCTCAAGCTATATACAATATGCAAAGCCTACCCATTAGAAATAAAGAAGTTAAAGAAGTCTTAGAACATCCCAAGCTTTATATATTCTTATAATCTATCTTCTAATATTTGAATGTAAATGTGCGACGACTACTTCTTTAGCTTCATCTCTAATGCTACCTAGTTAGTATTTCAAATAATGGAAAGTTGGGTCATTTGAAAAATAATGTTGATAAATTAAAGCTTGCAATGAGATCAAGTTGATTCATTCAAGAGTTTTAAACTAACTTAATGGTATTATCTTATAAGAATGCTTCGATATCACTAAATAGTAACAGTTATGATGTCAGTCAATTAACTTGATCAGCATTGCGCAAATATTGATGTGTTTTTTTGGCTGATATATCTTCTTGGGTCTTATCAAGGAGTGAGATTAACTTGATCACAAAAGAAAGTTTTTTTAAGAAAACAGAAACAAAAAGAAAAAGACTAGCTACATTAATTATATAAATGTCTGTTAAATCTTAAATGAATCTCTTTGGATGGAGTGTCAAATCGATCAGCTTCAATGATGGATGGGAAAAAGTGAATGGATAATGAGTTTATCTTTCTTTTCTTTTTTTTTTTTTTTTGTAAAACAAACAATAAAGTAGAGTGATGCCTTTTATACGTGTGTGTGTACGAAATGAGACATGAATACACTATTTTTTTTTCTTAAAATGATTCTCTGTTGGGTTTTGTTATCATATTCTTACCCCCAATCGATAGTATCACATGACATGAGAGTAATTGAACCGATGCTTAAAACATATTGTTTATTGAATTAAAATTTGCAAATTAATATTATTTATAAGAAACAAGTCTTGTCTATTATAAATGAGTTTGTAGTAGCAGTACAAAAATAATTAAATACATTGCTTAGTCTTATGGAAAATTAAAATAATAGCATTTATCACATTTAACCTACGCTGGAAACCAACTCTTTTATTGGAATAGCACAAAATTATCATACATAAGGGAATCTAATTTTTCTCATTCTATCTTAAAATAGCCATTTAATATCCAAATCGATATGCTTCCATTTTTACTTTCCACAAATTGCATGTGTCAAATGATGATCCTTGCCCAAAAAAAGAGAGGGGGAAAACTACGAAAAAGTAGAGTTATAATAAAACATTTATAACGACATATTTGATCTATAGTCAGCATCTCAAATAAGCTGAGCCAAGAACCCTAGATGAGGGGTGCAAACTTTTAAAACTCAAGGAAAGGGATGATTCAAAATTTTAAGAATATGAATGCGAAATACTAAAATATGATAGGGTGCGTTTGTCCCCCCAACACCATGCATGGGGCTTCCCTACCGAACTCAAATATATGAGAAATTTTTGCATGCAGTTTTGGGTTGGTGATATATTTTTTTTTTTGGGGGGTGGAGTACGTGCCAAAGATAGGATGCAGGTCAACCATATCTTCATATGAGATTGGAAGAATAAAGATTCTATAATTAGAGAGTTGTATAGTTGAATATAAGATATTGAAGATATGAAAGTACCAAGTGGGTACAGGTACAGCATCTGTTAAATCAAGATTAGCTTCGTTGTCATATCTTCTATTATAATCGTCATACAATATTGTTTGTGTAATTGTATATAGCAGTTGTTACACGCCATGTAACTGAGTTTAGATTATGGATTAGTTTAAAGAATGATATTATTTGGACTGAGTATTCTCTTTGGCAGCATTGTTCTCATCGAAATTATTTGCGTTGACAATTAAAACAATCATGTTGCGCGAATGGAGCAAGATGATCATGAGGATAATCTTTTAATGGATAATGTGTTCCAACTAATAATTTGAAACAGTTATATATATATGGAAGATATAATAGGAGAGTTCAAGAGAAATAAAATATAGTCTCATTTTGGTCATTATGTGATTCTTTTTGAATTTATAATTTCCATATTTATATATATAAACTAACTATGCATAAAAGCTACACATTTTGCATATTGAACTGAATGACATGATATATGGTATTAAATTGAATATTTATTCGATCAAAACGATTTTAAGAAGTCAGTGTAATTAAGTACATTCTAAGATATTAATAATGCGCTATTTTTTGTTAAATATTATCATATTTATCAACTGTGTCATTCCCCATTTAATTGTTAATAAATGAGTATGGCCGTTATATAAGTGATACAACACACACACACACACACACACACACACACACACACACTAAAACAACTTGAACTCTTGACCTAAACCACACCGGTTTTATTATAGGAGCAAACGGCAGAAGCCAAGTGATACATAATATTCAACGTCATGCTTCAGTTCATTATTCCCCTTTTTATTGGCCTGATCACTTTATTTAAAATTTTTGGTGAACAATGCTTTTAAATAAGATACGACTACTAGAATTTGATAAGATTATTAGGAAGAATGTTTATTTCCCTATTCTTGAACCAATGTCAGCATCATGAATTTAAATTTTTTTTATAACCATGTTGAAATTCTTCATTAAAACAAATGCATCAAACCTATCTAAATTGAAATACTGACCTGTTCCTGACTACATATTTAGTTTTATTTTGTGTGTGTGTGTGTGTGTGATTATTATTACAGCAGGTGGAATCAAGTTCAGATAGATTCTTGACGACCCACACTTGCATACTGAAATGATATATATATATATATATATATAATCTAAAACTTAAAACACTTTCTAAAGAAAAGCAAGCATGAACTGTTAAAGATAGTACATAGTATCTCTTAATGACTAAGCTACCTTTAAGTTCTAAATTAAATCATTCTGCGACTCAACATGTTTTTAGAAGGATGGATGAATGGTTAGGCTTTAATCAATAGTAAGGCCTCTAATATAAGAATTAACTAGAGATACCCTCTCACTGCCGACAAACAATGTGGTCCACCAATAATCTGAGTGTATCAATTAATCATTAAATTAGTGACAAATAGCTGTGGAAGAGTGTCTACAAAGATAACATCTCAAAGATCACAGTTTGAGTTTTTGACACGCGTGCATTTAAGAATATTTCACCAAGCACAATCCTCAATTATCAACTTTTTCACTTTTTTATTTATTTATACCTTTCAAAAGTATCAACCTACCAACCATTGCATATCCAATATTCTTTTCCATCAGAATTGGATTTATATATTTGTTAGTTTCTTCCAATCACCATGATGAAGGGCGCAAAAGGTTAGTTACTCACTAAAAAGGAACAAAACAAAACAAAACAAAAACAAAAACAAACAAACAAACAATCCAAGTTTGAGTCCTTGTACACTGCTCATTCAGAGAACAGTACAATTCGAGAACTTGCTTTTCTTTAGTTTGCCAAACAAAGCTGATTGATTTATGAGCGTGATTATCCTCAGAAGCTTAAAATATTTGGAGGAGCACTTTGCGTCGGGTCCAATATAAATGACGTTTGATGCTTTGATCTCTTTTTTTGCTTGCAACGTATTAGATCTGATTCATAGTTGCCAAAAATACCAAATCAGATATATCAAATATCGATCTTATGATGATCAATCGCATGTGATTCTTTAACTGTTCCAAAATAACTTCTAATAATGAATTAATTGCTTAAAAGCTGAGAAATTAATGTACAATATTATATCATACTACATATTAGAACCCGCGATCTTAAAAAGAAGGTCACAGAAATAGATTACAAGCTATTATAAATAGCTAAAACTTGAAATAAGTTTATATACCAATAAATAATAAAATTAAAGTGATTGTGGTGAGAAGAAGACAAGTTGCAAAAAAAAAAATGATTGACAAATAAATAGAAAGGAAATATAATGCTCAATGAGCAATACAATCATTTTTTGCGGTTATATTGAGGATTTGAATTTGGATCATCACTAACAACCCAAATTACATTGAGCAAAGTGTCAAAAAAGGTGGTTTTTCTATTTCTTTCTTTTGGGCCTCAGCTAATCCAAATTAAATGTACCATGTTTTAAAATTTAAAATATAATTCATGTAAACGACCTACCTAGTATTAGATAAGGGTAGTGACCAGTTATAGCTGCAGGGAAACTTCACAATTGACGGTGGTGGAAATCAAGGTGGTGTTGTATTTTGCTCCTTCTTATCCAGGCCCAGATGGAGAGATTTGCCTCGTGCAAAAAATGGGCTACACTTTAAACTTATTTAGATAACTCGGAGACCAATTCTCAGTGTCAGTGCAATTAACAGCCCACGTAAAAGGGCTAAGCTTTCAACTTACTTGGATACTAGGCAAAAGGAAAAAGAAAAAGACAATGTTGATGCTCATAAAGCCCGTGATCAAGAAGAATAATTTCAAAGGTGCCAGAAGAATACGGACAAAAATCTTCGCATCACGAATTCACGATTGGCCTGCGGATAAGCATTAATGATAATTCGGACCCAAAACCAATCCATCATCTTTGTTTTTCCTTCGTCTGAAAGTCAATCTCTTCCATGGCCATGTCTCTCTTTCCTTTATCATTGTTCAATCTGTTGTGGTCAACCACACTCGTATTCTCTTTAATCTCTTTCTATTTCATCGCAAACTCCATCTCAGCCCAAACACCATGTTCTGAAACTGACGCCTTTCACAAGCTCAACGTTGTCTCCAACCCGGACGGAACCCTCACCCGATTAAAACCCCGTCCGGTGAGCCCTCCCTCACCGGATCCCAACCTCCCCATCGCTGTTCTTTCCAAAGATCTCTCCATTAACCCTTCCAAACCCACGTCGGTTCGCATTTTCCTACCTCGCAATGCCCTCTCTTCCTACAAGAAATTGCCCCTCGTTGTCTTCTTCCACGGCGGAGGCTTCATCGTCCTTAGGGCAGCCTCCACCATGTTTCACGATTTCTGCTTCAACATGGCCGACTACCTCGGTGCCGTTGTCGTCTCTGTCGAGTACCGCCTCGCTCCGGAGCATCGACTGCCTGCGGCCTACGACGATGCCATGGAGGCCCTGCATTGGATCAAAACGCGTCCTGACGGTTGGTTGAGTCATTACGCCGATCATTCAGAGTGTTATCTGATGGGAAGCAGCGCGGGGGGCAACATCGCGTACCACGCGGGAATCCGTGCGGCGGAGCAGGGGAAGCATCTTGCGCCGTTGAAGATTAGAGGGCTGATCCTGGTACAACCGTTTTTTGGTGGGATCAAGAGGACGGGATCGGAAGTGAGGATGATGGACAACAAGCGGTTGCCGCTCTGCGTGACGGACCTGTTGTGGAAGTTGTCGTTGCCGGCGGGAGTTGACCGGGATCACGAGTACTGCAATCCGACGGCAGGAGACGGAAGGGAGAGAGTGGAGGAGATCGGAAGACGAGGGTGGGGAGTGGTGGTGACAGGGACTGGGGGGGACCCACTGGTGGATCGACAGAAGGAGGTGGTGAAGATGATGGAGGAGAGGAAAGTGAGGGTGGTGGGCCACTTCACAGAAGGAGGCTACCACGGTATTCAGGATCGGGATCTGTTGAAAGCTAAGGAACTGTATGCGGTTGTGAAGAAATTCATGTCCTCATGCGGTGCTGATGAATAAGGATGAAGCGTCGTCGTTCCTCATCGCACATTGTTTGTGTAGTGCTGATGCAGTTCAGCTGAGTTATCAATGATTTGCATCTTAAGATTGAATAATAAAATCTCATGTGAAGGCGATGAAAGGAAGCGATCAAGGCTGCTTTTTTATTATGGAAATCACCTAACCTTTAACCCTCACAAAGAACAACCATAATTTTCACCCTTACATGAATTTTATTGAGTTGACGATGAGATTAATGTATAGACATTGAAGCATTAATTTCAGTTTTGTTTATCCAGAGAAAAATAGGACGGATGACTATCTTGTTGACTTATAGTCTTCCTTATAATTTTAACATTTTCTATCAATCACCTACTTAATAGGCTCGGGTGGTTGCCGTTTTTTCTTTGGCTGTTGTGTTTTTTTTCCCCTGTTTCTTATATAAGTGGTTTGCATTCTTTTTGTTATTCTTATTTTGAGTGAAGTTTCAGTGCATATCAAAAGCCTTCATACCGTTGTCCCCGCGTCTTGTCTCAAGAAAAAGATTGAAAATAAATTTTTATACTGTGTTTCTTCTTATTTTGAAAGTTATCTCACTCCATTAAGAATCAAGACAACACGTGACAGGGACGACGCCATCCTAATAAATCAGACAATATAGAAAGATTTAAATAATAACGTTAATTAAAATTTTAAATTATATAATTTATTAAGTTTAAATCAAAATAATTCAAGTACATAAATCACAACAACTTAAAGTTTATTATTAAATTACATCAATCACAACTACAAGTATATAATGTATTATGATAGCAATTACAAGTGATCTCTGAGTTATAAGAGCAGCAACAACAAATAAGCCAAGCACAACATGAAATAATTATTCGTTTACTTTAATTTAGATGTGCTAATTTAATTACTCTTTCAAAAATAAAGAAATAAATATAATATAAATAAAAGTTATTAAATAGATAAAGTAAGAATAAATTATATTAATATAATTAATATATTATAAAGAAATATATCACCCTATTCATTTTATGTCATTAAAATTATTAACATAAAAAAATTTTATTTTTAATAGGAATTGCACGTATTGAAATTATAATTGATATAATTAATATAAGTATAAATTATATATTAATATAATTACTATATTTAATGTATATTTTTAAAATAAAAAATAATATATATATATATATATATGTAATATTTGGGACGGGACGAGACATCTCGATGCTAATCTCGTGTCCCATTTTATCTCGAACCTCCTTCCCATTTTGTCCTACAAAAACCTGTCCCGATTGTTTTGGTGCTATCTAGGATAAGGCTCATCCTGATATGATCGGGAATGAAACTGAACAATCGAAGACAAGTATAAGTTGAATACTCCTAATCTATACATTAATTAATGAATAAGAGAGCAGTATATACATTAATCCAGGTAAAATGCCCACTTATCAGTTTCTTTTCTTTCTTTGTGTCATTTTGTAATGGATTTGAGGTTTTTTTTTTTTTTTATGTCATGTCTCTTATTTGTATTGTGCTCATTGCACTTAATTTGTCTTTGTAAACCCTTCAATTTTCAACGATATTTCATGTTTTTGAGGGGAAAAAAAATCCATCAATGTACATTTATGACTTGGAGTGTGCGATATGTAGTTGAATGCTTGTGTTTTTGCCTATTTACAATGATAAGGGTGTCTTGCAACTCAAATTAATGAATAGCAAAATACTCTCCAAATTAAATACTGTTGAATGCTTGGCTAAAATTATATTCGTTAGTGTTTAGATTGATAGATTTAAATTTAACCTTGCATTTTAAATTTTATATTTAAAATTTATATATTTAAAAATAGTTTAAAAAAATTTATTCCACACCCTCTCCAATCGTTTGATTCAATCTGAATCAATCCGTAAATTGTGGAGGCATTTGCCTTGCCCAAGCAGTACTGTGTCCAATGGTCTACTGCAACATGTGGTCCTACTTATTGCAGTTGGAGCCACCTATCCCATGTGGGGACCAATTCCATTTTTCAACATGACATATGATCAATTAAAATGTTGTATTAGTGTTTCTATAAATTACATATTTATATGGTAAGGTATATGGTTTGATCGGCAATATTTATATAGATTGAATGCATAATATTATTTATGTTTTGTTCAATAAAAATATAACATTTAGATATTATTAAATATAAATTAATTATGATATTAATGATAGTAGAGAGAAAAAAATAAATAATCAAATATGCATTATGCTAACAAAATAGAATCAATTTAAAAAAAATATCACATAAAATCTTATTTAGATTACTTGAAGCATTTCAATTGAACAAAATATAAATGACGTGATACATTTAATCTATCAAAGTCTTTCTCTTAGTTTGACTAATCAAAAAAGTCGAATCAATTTATTTTGAAGTCTTGAGTTCAAGTTTTAACATGAAAGATAGTAATATTCTCAAATTTTTTAGGATAAAAAGAAATAACATGTTTATGTTTTCGCTCTCCATCGTTACTTTTTGATTTCATTCTGAGTAAAATTGTCTTCTAACATTTCCAAATCATTTTTTTTTAATAATAGTTTCTAAATCATGTTGTCCCAGTGAAAATCCACAAAAACGGAGGGCGTCTAGCCAGAAAATAATGGGTGAACCCTGGAGCTGGAAAATGTATATATAAGCCCATGCGAAGTTGGATCATTTGGGGCCTATATGGGTTGTACAAAGTTTCCTTGTACAAGTCCAAATGAAAAATCATCAGAATTTTCACGGAACAAAAAATCAATCAAAATTAGGTAATAAGCTAGTGGGGGTACACATGACATAAGGTTTAAATTTGGTGAGTGACCTAAGTAGATTTATTTATTAAATATTTTGATCATTGTCGTTGAATTTTAACAATACTTAAAAATTATTAAAATATATTTTCTTTTAAAAATTTAAAACAATTATCAAGATCAAAAGACTCCTTATTCATGTTGTCTTTTCCAAAAAATTTGAGATTTAATAATTTTTTGAATATTGTAGGACAATATTTGATAGTTACTTGATTAAATGAAATCATTAGCATCATGCCACAAGAGACACTTATTAAGCGCATGTATTTAAGCCATTCTCTATATCCAAATCCATACATAACATGCTTTTACCTAAAACAAGTTTTTAAAAGTGGACAGTGGTCTACAGGGGGGAAATTGACAATGATTAACTATTTAAGTTCCATAGAATCGGACAAAGTATTTGGCTGTATGGCAATCGCACCAGCAATGTTGATAGCGATTTAATGTGAATCAATCTATAGTTAAATAATATATCTCATTATGTTAGAATATTTATTTATTTATGAATTAACATTAATTAATAAGTATTCTAACAATGAGATATGACTCAAACGATGATGCCATAATATAGAGGAATTATCATTGGGCCTTTGATGTTTATGCCCAATAGCAGCATTGATATGGAAATTAGGAAGTTCAAGTGACCAATCATTCAATCGATATAAACCATATATCAAGGAAGCGACACCAACATTAATGGAATCAAAACAAATGTCAATTTTTTCATTTCCTTGGAAGAATGAATAGCCACAAATATCCAATACAGAAGTTGAAATTAAATTTATCTTTGCAGAAGGTATATAAACAACATTATTCAAATGTAAAACATGACCAGAATTTAAATACAAAGAAACAGTTCCAATGCATTCAACTGATGCCTTGCTCCCTGCTATGCCAAAGACTAACCTCTGTATCTCACTTAGAACCTTCTAGTTTCTTAGCCCCTGTAGAGAATTTACAACATGTACAGTGGCACCAGAATTCAGCCACCATGAGTCAAAAGAAGTTTTAATAGTGTTAGATTCAAAACAGACTAGAGTTAGAGGGGCAGTTTGAAGAATTGTACCTTTACTTTCTTGTTTGTTCTTCAGTTTGAAGCAATTAGCTTTAATGTGACCTGGTTTCTTACAATAATTGCATAACCCATTAAAGGGTTTCTTCCTCAACTTTTCACTCTTATCACCATCCTTCTTAAAGGTTAGATTATTAGGCTTTGGGGCATCATGCTTCTTCCTCTTTTTCTTATATGACCCTCCAGATTTGCTGCTAGAGCTATGAGAAACATAGTTTATTGAGTAAGAGGAATTCTTCTGTATAGCTTCCTCTTCTTGAGTGACTATCGATATCATATGATCAACAGACCATTTAGCTTATTGTGAGTTGTATGAAGTCCTCAAGAATGCGTACTCCGATGGCAGTGATTGAAGAACACGGTAAACTAAGGTACTTTCACCCAAATTAATCTCATATGACTTAAGCTTGTTATAGTAATGAACAAGTTTCAGAATGTGCTCCCTGACACCAGAAACTCTGACATATCGAGTATTGTCAAGAAGTGACAGATAGTACTTCTTTTGAGTCTTGTCAAGCTTCTTGTATTTGTTACCAATAGCTTTCAAATACTCGACTGCAGTATCCTTTTCAGGAATGCTGTCCCTAATTTCCTTATCAATTGGGTACTTGATGATTGCTAGACAGATCTGGTTGGACTCACTCCATTGTTTATGAAAGGCTATTTTAGAAGCACTGGACTCAGAAGAGAGATCTGCAGGCTTGGGTTCTCTCAGAGCTAAATCTTTCTCAAAAATGGTCAGATACATAGTCAGGGACTCTTTCCAGTCATCATAATTAGTCCCATTGAGAGCCTTCACAAAGGATAGTTGCGTAAAAGTAGAAACTGAAATCGCAAAAAAAAAATGAGAAATATTAATTATGCGTGCATAACATAATTATAAAACATAATTTTCCAACAAGCGATTATCAATTATGCAACTATAACCATGCACCAAGAAGGTTCATATACCATAAAAGATTTAGCTCACACAAAAGTCCATACAAAATAATGTATTAAACATTTCCATACCTATAGGGTACAACAAATATCTAACACATTAAAGGAGTGCTATTAGCCTATCCTCAAAATCAACCATCAAAATCACATTAATAATGTCACACCTATGGGGTATGTTCATTATCAATGCTACAAGATCTTAAGCATTATCAATAATTCACAAAGTCATAAATTTTATGACCTTAGGACAAGACAAAATAATTTTAAAAGCCCTTAGGGTCTTTTGGGAACTAGGGAACAAATTTAGGACTTAAATAAAATTTTTGAAAGATTATCAGGGGCAAATAAGTAATTCTGGAAGAGATTTGGGTCAAAATTGTAAATTCTGAAAGTTAAGGGACTTATTTGTAATGTCAAAAACTTTATTGAGGTCACGAAAGAAATTCCATAAATTATGGGCCGAATGAGGTACTTCTATCCTGGGGTTAAAACATAATTAACAAATATATATATATATATATATTAAAAAAAATCAGGCCCAGATGCAGTATAACCGGATCTCTAAGACCCAGTTTCAAACCCGTTTCGTGTCGCAG